AGTGCAAAATAAAAAGATTAAGTGAATAATGAAAAAATAATTTACGACATAATCTAGTTGTGGTACCTTTTTGCTGCGTGTATAATAAAACTTTTTTTTGTCGACATGTTGATAGACTTATTCAATAAATATTGTCTTATATTCAATTCGTTGCAGAGTAAAAAACTAGAGAATAATCTCAAGTTTTTGTAGGGGTATGGGTGTTGATTATGAGAAGACTCACACACTCGTTTATTTGCTCAGTAGATTATAATTATGCGACAACAAACCCAGAAACTTCAAAGAGAAAAAGATTTTTTTATCATTTTTTGATATTTATTAATTTTTTGACAAGATGCGAAATAAAGCAAATGAAAATTTTACAGTTGGATAGAGTAGTCAGTGCTCTATCCGATCACATAAAAATAAAAGATTTCTTCAGATTTGCAAGGATATAGTAAATAAATAGCTATCAAAAATAACTTAATCATACTGTCCATCTAAATTCATGCAATTATTACTTGTACTAAATAGCGTGTTATATTACAAAAAATAGTTCAATTTCTTCATTTCGTCTTAATCCAAGATTGATGACCGTATTGTTGTAACCATTTTAGTTCTTCTCGCACCTTGATTTTTCCATACCAAGGTTCGTTGCTATTAATCACTGAATGTCCTTCATTTGGAAAAATGAGTAATTGAACTGGTACTCCCAGACTATGTAATCCACGTTCTAATATGTAACTCTGAGCAGGTGGAACCCGAACATCATTTGCACCAGTAACAAGATGTGTTGGTGTACGAACTCTATCTAAGTAATACACGGGGCCTGAGTTCTGGTATACATCTGGTACTTCCCATGGAAAACCACCCATTAAATAGTTTATATGTATCGGCCAATCCATTATACCCCAGGTAGAAACATGTTCGGCTGCACCTGCACCAGACACAGCAGCATTAAAACGTGTTGTTTGTGTAATTAGCCAATTTGTTAAAACACCACCATAGCTATAACCACCAATTGCAAGTCTGCTCGGATCAGCAATACCGTCTCTAATCAAACGATCAACACCTGAAAGAATATCAATTCCAGGTCGGATTATAGGTTGATAACGAACTTCACTGAGAAACTGATCACCATATCCGGTTGATCCTCGATAATTTGGTTCTAAGACTAACCAGCCATTCAAGGCTGCTAATGGAGCCCAAAAGTAACCATTGCCTTGTAAATGATTGAGACTTGCATCATATGGACCACCGTGAATCAGGAGGAAAAGAGGCAAATTTGTTGATTCAAATTGTCCTGGTGGATAATGTAAAATTCCTTCGATTGTTCTATTATCTTCATCACTTTCCCAATAGAAATTTTTCGATTCAGGTAGTATACGTTGCGTCCAAAGACCATTTTCATTTGTAATTGCATTGGCCGATGCAAGTTGATCAATATTGTCAACACAATAAACTTCTTTTGGTGTTCTAAGTGATGAATAAATAAATGCAATAGAACAATTTTGATTAGATGATCTAGAAACTGCAATAGATTCGTATGTACCACTCCAGCCACGATGTTGAATCGAATTATCCATAGATGACTGCTGTGAATAGATTTGAACATCCGTACCCCATTGTCCAAGAATATAAATACTACCATCGGTTTTCGTCGCATATCCCACGATATTACCATCAAAATCATTTCCCAACCGTTCAATTTGTCCATTTGTTATATCAACAGAATACAATCGTAATTGAGTATCATTAAACTTTCCATTACTTGAACTTAAGGTAAAAACTTGAAATAAAATCTGTTTACCATTACTTGATAATTGTAAATCTCGTTCAATTGCTTCATTGTATGTCAATTGTACCAGTGATGATACATTTTGTAGATCAATCGAATAAATTTCATTATTGTCTAGCTTTTCCAATATGTCTGTTATCGATGTCAATATAAGTTTTTGTTCGGATGGAACAAATAAAAGTTCACCAATAAGAAAAGAAACATTTCGAATGATTTCAATTTTTGTTGGTGCTATTTGATTTTTCATATCAATATCAATACGATATATTGTACTACCTTGTTTAGTTTTAGGTTTTCGATATTGTATAACATCTTTCCATTCAGTTTCATCTAAATCATCTTCATCTTTTGTTGGCCATGACGTCAATGCAGTGAAATAAAGAGCAGAATCATCTTCGGACCATGTTATAGTCAAAGGAATTGTTGCGCCAATACCAATCGGTAATAACTCGTTTGATTCAATTGAAAACAAATATATCCGTTGTTCTACATTTGTAAGATGATTTGCATTTTTCGCACTTATATCTGAATTTTCGTCGAGTAACAATACAATCCAATTTCCACTTGGTGACCATTGTGGTTTGAAAGCTCCGAAAAGTTTCCTTGTAATTAATTTTTTTTGTTGATTTTCAATTTCATATAGCCATAAACTATTCTCAAAAGAATTTGAATTCCATAGTGGACGGCTAGTATGAATAAGCAAGTATTTACCAGCTGGCGAAAAACTCAACGATGGATAATGTGCGTAATCAAAAAATTCGTCGAATGATAACGGTGGTTTTGTTTGCATCGAAGAACATAGTGTGAGTTTGAAAATGAACAATATATAGAATATCACGTACATGATTCGTTTTTATCTAAACAAACTAGATAATACTTTCACTGAAGACAAATAAATTTTGGATTTGATCGTCATGTTCAATTAATCGACTTTTGGTGCTTATTTTTTGAGTATTGACATAATCAGACAAATTCCATCTCTCTATAACTACTTCCATTAATATAAAGACAGTTCCATCTCAATTGAATCTTAGCATATGCCATAATTCTTATGAGCCTTTTCTGACTATTAAAAATTCCGTTAAATAATGGTCTGCTCATGAAAACGCGAAGAAAAAGCTCCAGTCGAAGGAGAATGGTTAATGGGATTAGTGTATTCATCAATGATATCTCTGTAAAAGCAAATCACATATAGTTGCTGCAAGAAAAGAAAAAAAAATCCATCGTGATACTCAAGAAAGATCCTATTATACACACAAATAAAAACTTACCTAGACACTCACAGATGCTACTCCTGTTTTCGTTTCGAATAGAGTCTCATCCATGGCCAACCCTCGCTTGAAAGATCTTTCTCATTCTATCGAGGGATGGCATACACGCAGGTTTACTAGATATTTCAATCAGATTAAGAGCGAATGCACTATTGATATTATTTATCTGTGACCTTTTTCTTCAACAATCAATTGATAATCCAAGGTAAGGTATTGTTTTGTCCTTGTTTTGTCAAATGTGACATCGGTTGATAGTCTAAAAACATGTTTTTCTGATTTTTTTGACATCGGTGATAAAAATCCTCATAAAAATCAACATACAGCTAGTTCTATTTGGATGCATAAAAATTGTCTAGACAGAGGATATTGAAATGATTATCATGCACTACCTTTTGAGAGAATGTGCATCTGACTGAAAGGGGAAAATATTTCGTGTTATTTTCAAACTTATTATTACAACTCATTTTCACAACCAGTGTGATTATTTTGATCTCTAATGACATAGAAGTCATTGTACTATAAAATACTGGTAGTACCAGTGAATGGAAATTTTAGGGTATTGAATATAGATATCTACAAATCTTGACAATCGTTTACAACAACTTCATGTAGACCCCGTGTTGTCAATTTATGTTTGTTAATGTTCATGGCTCTTCAACTTGGTCAAAAAACGAACAATATACGGACACTCATTTGAAATAACAGTATATAAGAGCATCTGATTTTTCTTGCTTACTAAATATTCCGATGCGAGCAATTTAGATATCACGTTACGTGTTTTTAGTACTCATGAATATGAATAAACCATGTCAGTCTCTTATACTTTGCGTAGACCTATCTCGAAGTGGTTCTTTCGAAGCCCGTTACAAAATACTTGTCTCGAGTGCATTAGTATATTGTCTTCAGCGAAAGAGACAATAGGACATAAATAGATATTTATTTCAGATATCAGTGAATCAATTACTCATTTTTTTTGTACACCACGATATAGAGGAAGCAGTATGATTGAATAATATCGATGAAGCTTCTTCTTTCTTAGCCAAGAGCTTTGTCTAATTCAACGAAGACTTTGTAGTAATGTGTCGATTCTACACAAGCACCCTTCGTTGCATTCAAATGAACTTTTGTTTACTAAAACGCCTGTGATGTGGATCCTTTCCAAAACTAAAAGTTTCTTATCGCATTATCATTACAGCTCAATTTTCTAGGGCATGTGGATGGTCTGCCATATTCATACATGATATCGAGCTGACAGCGTTATTGAAGCAAACAATTCTTTCGAGACTAACATTGATTTTCAGTTACTTTTTCCACTTTTACTACGAATGTTTTGTCTCGAGTTAGAAGTGGTTGAAATATTTTTCATTCTCCAGTTTTCTTGCGTCACAACTATTCGTCTCGGTGTAGGCAAAAGTGAAGATACTCGTTTGTCATTTTGTAAATAACGAGGAAAGACTTTACTGGTTGTCCATCGACATCTCTATGCTAGACCAGTTGCAACATCTGCTTTGAGAAAGCTGTCCAACAGAGATAGTCGATTTGTGATAGACCATCGACCATATCTTTCATCATCTCAAATCGACAATAATTTTTTCATTCAGTCTACCTTGTAATTAGAATAGCAGTTTTTTTGAATAGCTTTCAATGTGTGAACCACTTTTCCTTCTATAAAAAAATCAAAGTATGTTGTCTTTTTTATCATTATTTTTCTGTATTAATCCACGTTAAATATGATGTGAGAAAAAAACATTTAATTTAAACATCATTTTCATCAGCCGGATAAGCTGGAGTGAGACAGAGAGAGTAATATGAGAAGACTAAAATATGAGACTGATCGACTACTAGTGAAGATAAGAAGAGTCACTGCCAAAATAAACGAGAGCAAAAAAAGGTCAATAATGATGATATTTGTTGATGCCATTGAATTTTCTTTACACGCAGCAGTTGTTCGTTTAAAAAGTACGTGATTCGAGTACCTCTTGCGGAGGTTGTTTGATGTGCGCTGGTTGATATAAAACAGAAAAACTAGTAGTCTGGTGATCTGCATCCCGACTTTTGCCTGCATAGTGACCTAAATGTAGAAATTCTTGCAAATCTGCATAAATACTACACACTTACTTCTTGATTTCATTTCACGAGCCTCTTGACAAAGTGCGCATGAACCACAACACAATGTCGCCGGAACATCGCCACATGTCGAGCCTTCTCTAAGACCATACATTTTTCGTAATTTTTCTCGTTTGAAATATTGCGGCAACCAGTATTGACCAGAACCTCCTAACATCCAATAGACACAACACATAAGCGAACAGTTACTACCATCGAGCTTCCTAGCATTTGAGCCGAATAGACATGAAGGACACCAAAACCCACAGCAGCAGATGCTGCAATCATTAAAACAGCCAAATAGTTCCTCTAGAATTCGACATACAAACAAAAGTTGCATCGATAATTATTCTTGTACATCTGACAAAATATACGTACCGTTCCAGTAATTGCCATCTGACATTTTATAGGCGGTCGAAAGTTTTATTTCTTGATGCAAAGATTGCGTGTTCTTTTTCTTCAGAAGGTATATCTTGTAGAAATGATCGACTCTTACAAGTAGTGCTTGTCTTTCTGATTCTGTATGGCATCGTCGTAATGTATATAAGTAGAAGAAAAAACGAAAAAGATTGCATTCAATTTTTTTGCGCTGTTCTGTCTCACGTTTTTACTTCATTTGCACTTTCTCCTTCGATAATTACGATTTTTATTACTGTCTTATACCATAGATCTACGTTTTTCTCTCATGCTGCAAACATAAGTCAATATTGCAGTGAATCAGAGTATCCAGCGGCTGTACACTGTATAGCAGGCTCGCTATAATTTGGACCTATTATCTGAGTCTGAATTAGAAAGAGAGTAAAGAAGAGAATCAGTTCGAAGAGAAGATCATTGTCGTCATTCATTCACTCAATCTCACTCTATTTGAGACGTAGGTAAGTGTTTCAAGTTCCAGTGATGTTGTCATGAGCTTTGTAGCTGCTGGATACGTCGATTCTCTATTGTATTTGTTTAAGTCAGCAGCATGAAAGAAAAGTATAGATCGATAGTGTAAAACAGTAGCTTCATTATCAAATTTACATTTCTGTTAATAAGATGTAGAATAAAACAATTTTTTATCAGATATTTTATTTATTTTTACTTAAATATTGCTCAATGTTATTGGGCAAATACGCGAAATGTGAGTGATCATCTATTGTAACTAATGAATTCAGTCGAATGAAGACAATGGAAACAAGACTCACGCAAATAATATAAAAGAATTATTTCTTCGCTTTTTTGAATAAAGCAAATTCATTGATGAAATAGGCTTTTTCAAAATAAATAAAATAGTATTCTGAACACACTATAATAAAACGCGTTCATGTTGTTTGACTATTGCGATCATTGCCAGTGTTAAGATTGACTATCACCAAATTCAATATGAATCATTCTTGATACTACTTGTCATCATTATCAGAAAGATCTATCACAATTGCATCATCAATGCTTGTATACAATCGAACACCGTTTTCAAAACAGCGTTTGGCTGCACTGAACGAATCCAATAATCCTATAAGCATAGCTTAGATATTTCTTCGCGCTTCTTCTTCAAACCAAGTTGATATGGTCACCGTTTTCACGCACAAGTGAACAACAAACAGCTTGTGCTCATACACTTTTAGTGTTAAAAACAGACTTTGAGTATAATTTACAATTAAAGATCTTATATTTTTTCATTTTCTGCTTCGTAAAAATTTCTCGTCACATGCATCGATACTTTTAAATATATTCATTCAATCAACGATTGAGCGCAATCTGTTGAGCACATCAACGGATTCAGATGAGCCCACGGCATCATCAAATCAAAATAAATAAGTTGATTCGAGACTCTTTTGAGAAATTGTTTCCCATAGTCTGATCGGGCCTATTTCGAGACGAGTACGAGGAGAAAATTGAGCTATGAAGCAATTGCTGGTGGATTCAACAGCACAACAGCAGTACTCATTACCAGAAAAATGGTATGCCGATCGATGTTGGAGAAAACTGCGCAAAAATATTATACCCAGCAACTTGATATATCGCGCCGCAAAAGAAAAGCGTTTCGAACTTTAGAATACATACATAAGAAAAATAAATCCAACAGGCCTTACCTGTTAAGAAATGTCAAGCTTTGTTTTCCCTGATAAAAGAAACTCTCAAAACAAATGTTTTAATGATATGGATATTCCCTTCATTCGCATCCTAACACCTAGAATGTGCTCAACAATGTATAAGGAGCCGAGCTTTTAACAGTTCTATCTTTCACTGAAAACGATGGGATATTTCATTTGTTATAAATAGAAATCGTGTTATATTCATTCTGTAAAATATGATGAACGATAAAAATTTTTTATTGTCTCATTAGCTATTGCTTTTTTCGTATTACTGATAGAATTAAGTGACACTGATAATAAATAAGTCGATAGAGCATATGAATGAATTCCATGATTGAGAGAAAACTAAGACCGAGCCATAGACCAGTTAGACCGCCAACTTTCGATAAAACGTCACCTAAAGTGATTTTCGCTTGCTGTATCTGAATATCGACGAAAGCTGCCTCACGTACGACGGTAACAGCAACATAATTGTTTTGAATATGCGTACGCCAGGTTGTTGACCAATCTAATGGTAATGGCACTGAAGAATTTTCAACAAATGCCTTAATTCCATTTAATTGCCACTCAGATGGTGTTATAAACGAAGATATTTTAAGAGGAAAGTCTATTAGAGAACATTGCAATGTACAATCCGGACAATATCGTTCAATGAATGATGATGATGCCGTGAATGTATCAGTTGCTCGACGATAACAAGAATCAGTGTAATTGCAAAGAGGCGCTAAGATGACGTTTTTTGTGTCTGGCAAAACAATGTAGCGAACGTTCCATAAATAAGGATTAATACAGCCACATTGTTCATACCTGCATAAAAAGTATTTTATTTCGACATAAGTGAGATACATGCAATAATTGTTCCTAAATACACTTACGTGTAAGCTTGCATACAGAGTTCATAGCATGAGAGTTGCGAATAACTATAATCAGCACCATTATAATCGTTAAACATTACTTTCATCGAAAGAGGTATATTGTCAGTACATGAAGTATATGGTGAAGATAAAAAGAAATTTGTCTTCTTTGTAAAACTCAATTTGTATTTCCGTCCTGGTGCCAATCCTATGCCATTTGCATCAATAAGTGGTACTTGTGCATTGTCGTGTACTAGACCAACCATGCCAATGCCTTTCGTAAAGACAAGACCCTAATATTTGATTCGATATCTTTGATGCCTACTCACTATCTACAACATATGGCACATATTGTTGACTATGTACATAAAAAGCTAAATTAAGTCGACCAGTGCCACTATATTGATTTCCGTATCGTACACCAACACTAGTATTTTTCATTTTAGCATTGAATGTAAAGCACAGACCATATGTTGATGAGACAAATGGAATAAAATCAGCACTTGAACAAGGCATAGAATCGTATAAACATTGATAGAGCATCGAATAAAGTGAAAACGAATATTGTGCAATTGATTCATTTCTATTAACTTTATATTGTATAAAATTTCGAATTCGAAGTGGAGATAATGCATTCATACTATTTTCATTGGTTAAATTTAGTGTATTTGTATAGTTTAGAAACGGTTCTATGAATTGATCGTAACGAAATGATGCAGCATTACAAATACTGAATGCTGGAAAATATTGTGGCCATTCAACATTAACACTCATATCTGTTTGTGTTTGATATTGAAGATATTCTAAAATCGCTTTAACAATAAAATAGAGCATTAAAGAGCTGAAAGCAACAAATGAGATTGCCCAAAAAATTCGACTGTGCACATTTTCACTGTTAATAATATTCGGAAGGCCATGGATAGTTGTGTTTGTGGCAAACTCATGAATGATTGAACGACGACGATGCAGTTTTTTCCCACTTTCCGTCGTTGATAATTCATTTGGAGATTCTGTTGATAAATGATTATTGATGTTTGACATTGAAATATCGTTTTCTAAAAGTATGCAATAAAGATAAATCCTCTTGATGCATTTTTGAACTATATGCAACTGACTATTATCACTCTTGTGCTTTCTTCTACTTAACAGATACTAGAATAACTGATTTCGAACTAGATTTGATTGATGTTAAATGATTTGTATTTAAAAATAGATCAAGCATGATAAAATTATAGCGTGATTACTGTCAGTATCAACAGTTTACCAAAATCCTATCCATCTATGATAATGTTTCTTGCTCACACAATCGCTCTAAATATTGCATTGTAATTCTTAAACTATTTCTAACAACAATTTTCATTTAACTGTTAGGGTGTGAGTGTGGGTATGGATTGGTAGGTCTTCTCTTTAATCGCATCCGCATCCTATCTGCTTTGAATATTGTCGAAATTCAGATGGGCAAAATTTGATTATCGAAACATCATAGACCCATAATTGATATCACGAAGGAAATTGCAGAATATTTGTATTTTTATGGACACTATTAGCTGTTGAATTTAGTGCACATAAGTTTTCTATCTTGACTTACGTTGATCTTCGAAAGAAGATGTTTGTTGTGATTTCATGATTGTTATTTTAATATATCTTTCATCTTCATATATTTTCTCGAATTTGTCCTACTTGTTTTTCGTGTTCTGTCTTTAAATTTAGTTGCTACCAAGCTTAACTCTCATTAATACAATCCATAGCAATAAATAATTGCACCTACGATTATTATTCCATCACTCTTTTTTTCTTTTCAACCATTCACATATGAATAGAATCGAACTATACAAAGAACATAATGGAAGTGACTGCGAGTTGATTACTTTCGCATATAGAAAATAAAAAGCAGCATTATACTAATGTTTATCGAATATAAACACATCTAATAAAGGACAAGCAGACGAAATCGATGACAAATTAATAATCGATATCCCTTTTGTTCAATCTCGCCATTGAATGATTTTATGTGTAGACAGTAATCTGAAATATTCTAAACGTTTTGAACAATATTCGATATAAATCTCTTTTTTCATCGATGCTCAGTGCTTCGATATAGGTTAAGCAAATACGAAGATGTATAAAAAAACGTTCTGCGGGTAAAATGAAATGCTCTGTCTTTCTCTTATTCGTAGTAAAATTCATTCAAACCATAGATAACGTTGAAGAGATTTACTGTTTGAAAACAGAAAACAAACAATCTAAAATTAACTTATATTCTCTCTTTATTCGGAAGTTCATTCGATCATCTTCATTTAAAAGGATAAATTATCATCGTCAAGATTTCTTTCAGAAAAGAAACTTTAGAAATATTGTTCGACGTGTTATCTTTCTCTGAAATACAAAAATCCTTTTTTTTCCATCTTAGAAAAATAATTATTTATGAGAGCTCTACTCTCAGTTCATATTTTGGCTGTAAGGTAAA